TTTCAACTCACAGTACCGTTTGTCTCTCTCAAGGAGAAGATCCATTCTAGCAGTCCAAACCGGGCATGTATTCCGAAAAGGTTCTTCTGTGCTGCTCCTGGGACGCGAGGAGGTGCTGCTGAACGAGCTGCCCCATAAGAACAGACGGTCACCGCCACCATTTGTGTCGCTCAGCTCCCGAAACGAGTGAAAATTGTTGGAGAAAAATGACCGAGACTTGCTTCGGGTCACCTCGTTCGTAGCACACGAGACCCCATACCTGCTATGAAGACCTACCAAATAATTGAGGAGCAAGGCTGGAAGACCAGTCCCCGCTCATAATATTCTCCTGACGTAGTCCCTACTACCTGCTCCGCCTCCTTAAGGCTTTCTTAGCTAAGAAAACTTTCAGCAATTTTGATGACATCAGTCGAGAGGGCGCTGACTTACTCTACGCAGCCTTCTCAGTTCTGGGAGGAGGGGAATGCTTACCTGTCCATTGGGTGGAGCACTGTAGTGGCTAACTATGACGAGTATATTGTTGACTAATTCCCACTGTATATTGAGTTAGAAAATAAAAAAGAAAAAAGTCACAACAGTGACAAGACTTTCCTTCCAACCTATATTAATGCAGTTAATCTCGGTATTATACTGCAATCTATACAGGGTAGCCAAAAAACACTTTCCTTTCCCAACTTTCGATGCGATATAAGTTACACTTGACGTTGTCGGAGCTGCTCGATGTTGGAGGTCTTCCAGATCAAGAGTACTGGTCCCCAGGTCCATGGGTGACTCCATACAAGAAGTTTCGCAGCTGTTTGGAGGTGACGTGAATTCCAAAGGCCTTCTCAGGTCCGGCTGCGATTGGAGATGGCTTCATATTTTGGTGTACATGAAGGTGATGGACGAGACCTGCTTCTGCTGTTTGAGGAGCATCTACCTTGCGCCTTGGTTCGCGTATCCTACGTCTTCTGCCTGAACTGCGTAAATTTTACTGTTACGTGACCGGCCAAAGTGTCTTTTTTTGCCCACCCCCTCGCTGAAAAGGATGTTGCTCGATGCCACTCCCGGAATGAATCACGAAATTTGCGGCCAGCGTGTTGGTGTTGTTACTTGTTGGTGGGCAA